GAGCAGGGGATTGTGGGTAATAAAGCAAGGGGGGATTGTGGTAACAGAGCCAGACTGCAGCAGAGCAGGGGGTCATGGGTAATAAAGTTAGGCTTCATTCCGCTCTCCAGCCAGTCTCCAAGCCCACAGGACATTAGGTCATGGAGCTAGACTCCAGAAGTACAGGGACTGTGGGTGACGAAGCCAGGCTCAGGCCCCAGGGTACTCCAGGTACTATAGCCCCCACTAGTTCTGACCCCCCCCTCCCCCAGAAGCCCCCAGAGGCTCCCACAGGGCAGGCCTTCCTGGCCCCAAGTATCTCCCTTACAGCTGCAGGTCCCCCTCTGGTCCTCCTAACCCATCCTGCAGGTCCCTTTAGGGAGAGAGCCAGACCCCCACCCCAGGCACTTACCCACCAATGTCGCCACCCATCTGCTCACTTGAGGAGCCAGGCAGGCCCCGTCCCCACTTAGAAGGGGAGACCGAGGTCTCGATAGAGACTCACACCCGGGCTCCTGCCTCGAAGCTGGCCGGTGCCTGGCCCCTACACCCTGCCCTCGGCTCCCCGGCCCAGCCCTCGGAGGCCGGACTCGCACCGTCTGCTCTTCTTGATCTCCCATCAGGCTCCTAGCTTACAGAGCTTCCTGCAGCAGCAGGCTCAGCTGGAGCTCCTGGCCAGACGAGTCACCCTGCTGGAAGCCATCATCTGGCCAGGTAACGGCAGGGCGGGCAGGTAGGGGCGGCCCCTTCCAGGAAGGGCCCAGGGACATAGAAGTCACCTCCCACTGGTGGCCCTAGGCCAGCAGACACTCCTTCTCTAGTCCTTCCAGCCAGCCAGCAGACAGACAGACGGTGCCTGACACCTTGTGTCTGACACACGGTGTCAGACAGACCTAGTCCTGTTCTCGGGGAGTGTAGGGTGCAGGGGCACGGGGGTCACCCTGGAACTGTTAAACCCGGAGTGAGGAACACCACGGTGGAGTGAGCGCTATGAGAGCACGGAAGTGCCCCGGCCCCAGGCTGGGTGTGTCGGGGAGGGCACCCCAGGGAGGGCTTCCTGGAGGAGGTATCCTCTAAATGAACCTGAAAGGCAAGGACGAGCATGAGTAAACAAGCAGAGGAACAGCACGAGCCAAAGCCAAGAGGCTAGACAGTTCTGTGAGGTTGCTAGGGAGTGACAGCTGAGGCTAGAGAATCTGGCAGGCCCCAGTTTGAGAAGGCTCTTGAAGGGAGGTAAAAGGCACGGAAGGAGGTTGGACAGCAAGTGGGCAGCACCCCTCCCAGTGCCTGGCTTTTCATGGTGGGGCTAAGGAGGGTTCTCCCCATTAAACCGGAGCCTGTGGGTGGCCGTGGAGAGAGGCAGGGATTGGCCGCCCTCAGGGCTGAGCTCCAGTCCTCACCTACCCACGGAGAGTCCTGTGTGGACAAAGGCCTGGAGGCTGGAAGAGGCCCCCACGGCCGCCCTCCTCCCACCTCCAGCCGCCCCATCTTACAGCCCAACCCTAGTACATCAGCGCACAAAGGCCTTGGACATCATGTCCAACTTCGCATCTATTTTACAGACGAGGAAACTGAGTCCCCGAGCAGGAGGGAGGGCCAGGAGGACAGCCAAGCCTCCTTCATTCAGCAAAACTGTAGGGCACACCTACTGAGTGCCAGTTCAGGGTGGCCACTCTGGACCCATCAAGTGAGGGGGAATCCTCAGGGTCTACAGAGATGAGGGCCATGGGGGACAGGAGCACCAAAGGATGTGAGTGAGCGGCAGTCCCCTCCAGCTGCGGCGTGGAGAAGCCTTCCCGGCAGAGGGGACACTTGCATTGCGTTGGGTCACGGAAGATCCCTGTGAGCATGTGAGCACAAGATAGAAAGGGCAGCCTTGACAGAGAGTCCTATGTGGACAAAGGCCTGGAGGCTGGAAGGGGCGTGTGGTCTGCTTCTCAAGCTCTTCCCACCTTGCCACGGGGCTTCTCTAACTTTTAGAAACATCAGTGGCCACCTTCCAGACCTCCTCCCCCTCTCACAGTTCAGGGCCCAAGGACCAAATCCCAGGCTTTTTCAAGTGTCCCCCGACTCCTCTCGGGAGGACAGGGAGAGGACCCAGAAGGGACACACTGTAGCCTTGGACCTGTAGCCCATGTCCACTTTAGTCACCTCTGTATCCAGCAGCCCAGGGATCCCTCTGGTCACCTGAGAAGATGCTGGTCACCTGAGAAGGGCCACGCCCACTTGCTGTGGCCACCAGCCTGGGAGAGTGACCCCACAAGCCAGCTCGAGTTGTGGGCCTGGAAGGGGAGGGGAGGGGGGAGGGGAGCAGAGAAGAAGGAACTTTCCCCATTGTCCGTCGTACACAGCAGGTGCTAACTAAAGACCCAGATTGGGCTCTCATGTTTAGGTTATAATCAGTAATGAGGAGATGGTAACAGCCATCACACATCCGGCCCACCGGGGTGGGGGATTTACATCCAGCCCTTGTAACAAGTTTGCTAGGTGGGTGACACCATGCCCATTTCACCGACGAAGAAAGAGAAGTGCAAAGAGCTCACGTGATTTCCTCAAGAGTCATAACAACAGTAGTGGTGAGGCCAGGGATCCACCGTAGGTCTGTCCTCAAAAGCACTAGCTCTTTTTGCTCCATCAGCAAAAGTTCACGGACACCTCTGCTCTGCCAGGCCCTGAGTGGGGCCCTGGGGAAACCAAGGGCCCTGAATCTGATCGTGTCAGAATAGCATCTCATGACCAACTCACAGTGGCCAGGCCTGCAGGAGAGCTGGGTCAAAAACACACCTAGTGACCATAATAATCCAGCATGTGAAATCCACTTTCCACTCCTGGTCACCTTAAAGCCTTACCACAGGGGTATGACACGGTATTGTCCCCATGTTGCAGAGGAGGCTCAGAGATTCTGTGACTTGCCCAAGACCACATCATTGGTACATGGTGGGCCCAGGACTTGGCCCTAGCTGATGTTGGAGCCTGAGCTCCCTGATTTAGGGCATGAGATCTCCCTTGACTGTGACCACACACACCTGTCTGTCCCAGGGGCCCCAAATTTCAGCCCAGAGGTGTATGGGAGGCTGGGGCACACAGGGTCAGAGGGCTAGACAGCTAGGATTATGAGGGGAGAGCCCACTCCCCTGGCAGTGCCCCAGTGGGAAGCTGGTGCTCACCAGAGTCCAAGTGTCTGTCCTTTTGAACAGGACTTTGGAGGCTCAGCCAAGTCCCCCATCCTGGGGCTCTGCTCCTTGAGTGTTCCTCTCCCCCCTGGAAAAATAGCCCATCCTGACCTACCTGACCTACTTATTTAACTTAGAGGGGGACCAAAGTGTTAGTGGCAGAAGACTTCTTGAAGGAGGTAGGCCTTGCTTGGGTGTTGAAGGATGAGTGAGAGTTTTCTAGGTGGCGAGAATGCCAGTTACTCAGTTTCACTCTTGTGGGACAGCTCATTTCCAGGTTGGGGCCAAATTAGAACTAATTTCAATAATTACTGGAGTTGGCCAGGACCTCAGAGTACATCTGGAACCATCCCTCCTGGTTTTAGAGATGAGACAGTTGAGGCCCTGGCAGAGACTAGACTTGCCCAAAGCTGTACAGTAGGTCAGTGGCAGAGCCTGGCCTTTCTAAACTCTTCCTCACCACATGTGGCCTAACCCGAGGAGAGAGGGAGAGTGAGTCTATTCCCTGACCTTAGCTTACCCAGCTATGAAACAGGGATGATTCAGGGCACGCCTCTACCCCAAAATGTGGGAAAGAACTATACTTTTATGGAGCATTCACTCCGTGCTAAGCATTTCAGAAACATGGCAGGTTCGTTGATCCTTACTTGACAGAGAAAATCCAGTAGATGCCCTGAGTGCTCTCACTGGGTGGGGAGCTGATAACTCTGGGGGGCAGAGGGGAGGCACTAACCAGCTTGCAAACACCCTTCTTTCTCACAGCTCTGCCTCCCAGATGCCACGGCAGAGTGCACCTGGCAGAGTACCGAGCGCCCCAGCCCCCCGAGGGCTGAAGGGAGATGGGCATCTCACACAGACCTCACTAACCCTGACTCTCTCCTTCCCTCCGGCAGAACCAGAGGGGTCGGGGGCAGGCCCTGCCGGCACAGGCACCCCCAGCCTCCTGCGGGGCAAGAGGGGAGGACACGCGGCCAACTACCGGATCGTGGCCCCCAGGAGCCGCAGCGAGAGAGGCTGAGGGCAGGGGCGGCCCTAGGGGCAGACCAGGCCAGGCTTCCCTTCCCAGCCTGGACTTGGCCAGCTGCCTCCAGGGACCGCCCATCCATATTTATTAATGTCCTCAGGGTCCCTTCTGCCACCTAGGCCTTTGGGATGGGCAAGTCTTGGTCCTGACTCCCCGTGCAAGCCTAATATGAAGCTGAGAAGGGACAGTGGACTGAGAGGGAGGGGCAGCCCAGGCAAGAGGTGAGGCCTCACTCAGGGCCCTGGGCCTCCATCTCCCTCTGTGAAGTAGGATGATGCAGGCCTACAGGGGATGGGGGGCAGGTTCGAGGCCTGCCACCCCCTCCTCCCCAGCCAAACCTCGGGGAGCCCACCGTACCCCTCCTCTCCTTGATTTCTGGTGCTGGGTCCCCACCCTGAGCTCGACAGGCAGGACACTGGGGATTCCTTGCATAGGTCCTGCCCCCCGAGCCCCCAGCTCCTCCCATGTCCCAGGTGGGGGTGGGGGCATGGAGAGGGAAGGGCCCCCTGGAGGTAGAGGTCTCCAGCCAATAAAGGCCCCTAGTCTGATGTCCTGATGTCCCACTGGCCTGGTCTCAGTGTGTGCTTAGATGGGGTGTGGCTGGGCTGGGCCAGGAGTCCCTTCCCTCTCCTCGGTGGCCTTCCCTGCCCACACACAATGCGGGGCTGAGGTTGGGGGGGAGCGGGGGCGGGGGGAGGTGTGTCTCCACACATCAAGGAGCTGTTCTCCTGTAATGGGTCATTCCTTCAGTGCTCATTCATTCATCCATCCCCCCTACTGCCAACATAGAAGAGTCAGACACAACGGCTGCCCCCAAGGAGGTCCAGGCTGAAAAATGAACTGGTCTTTATTCTAAACAGTACCAAGGTGGGGTGCCGGAGGGGTGTCTCCGCACCACACCGCGACTCGGCGGACAGGGCTGGGCTCAGACTACCCCCGACAGGGCTAGGGGGGACCAGGACCCTCAGGGTGAGCGGGCCCACCCCTCCCCTGCATCACCAGGGCCTCAGTGCCCACCTCCCCGCCAACCAGCAGCGACACGGCACCCTCCACTCGGCCTGTGGCTGCCAGTGCCACCACTGCCTGCTCTGTGGGGAAGCCCATGCGCTCCAGCTGCTGCAGCCTGTGGGACGGAGGGAGGGAACGTCAGGGCCACCTCCAGCCCCTGCCCCAGCCCCCCCCCCACACCGCTCCGGGCCACCCGCCTTACCGCAGAGAGGAGACAGACGACTTAGGCAGCCATAGCGGGCTCTCAGAACACGAGGCTGGCCCGTCAAGGAGTGAGGCCTGGATCCCCTCCTGCAGCATCTGCTCATCCAGGGCTGCCCACAGCGGGGTCCCTGGGGGAAAGCTGGGCCCAGCCCAGGCCAGGCCCACCTCTGAGGAGCCTTCCCAGGTTGGCTGCACAGGCTCCAGGCCTGGCGGGCGCTGGGCTGAGCTTTCACCGCGGAACCAGAGACTAGGGGAGGCCATGTAGGGAGGTCCAGGGGTGGGAGGCCTGGAGGGGCAGAAGCAGAAGGCCTGACTGCCAGCCCCCACCACAGCTTCCGCCAGCAGGGCCGGTGTCTTCAGTGTCGTGCTCACCTCACTCCAGTGGGATGGGTGACAGGCAGCTCGGCCCGGCTGCCTGGGGTAGGAAGGAGTCTGAGCGGCCAGCACCCGGCCAGGGCCCTGCACAAGACGCCCTCCTGCAGTGCTTGCAGCCGCTGGTCCGACAGCTCCAGCCACTGGAAGGCCCCGGCTGCGTCTGGCTGCCCAGGGCAGGGCGGCTGGTCAAGGAAAACCAAAACCAGCCGGCGGGGAGTTGGGGGGGCTGGGAGAGATCCAAACTGCATGCCAGGCCCCGGGCCCAGTGTGTGCGAGCCATTCCCTTGCATCTCCTCACCCTAGTCAGCTCTCGGGAAAAGTGGAGGCACTCGGGAAAGGAACCCGCCAGAAGCTACTCAGCATGTAACAGGTGAAGCCAGGTATATCTCCCCACAAAAGCGGTCTCCCCCCATTTCAGCCACCCGCTCCCCCCCCGGCCTGCTCTGTCCCCAGAGCCCCGTGAGACTACTCAGGTCCGACTCAAGGCCCACCCTGGGGCCCACTGACACCCCCCCATTGCCCTCAGCCAGGGCGACATACTCCCCATGCCAGGATTCAGCCAGGCTGGGCAGCTGGTGTCTCCAGGCCCAAAAAGACCACCGGGGGGTCAGCCTGCGCCCACTGTTCTCTCCAAAGGCACCGTTTCCCCCAAAAGGCATGAAGCATCTTTGAAGCAAAAGCCTGTATTTAATGCACCACCAAGCACAGGCGTTCCCCCTTTCAGCGCTGAGCCCCAGGCTCACTCCCACCCTGGCCTTGTACTTCCTGCCCGGCTGGCTCTCTTTTTCACTTCTCTTCCCCTGAACCCCTTCACCCTGCACATCGTACCTCAGATGCCACCCCCACTGGGGAGGGCCAGGTTGGGTGCCTACTTGGGCCACTGCGGCCCCCCTGGGCTCCCCTTTAAATGGTAGTTGGCACCTCCCCCTGGCCATTGGCCCTGAGCCCACCCTGCCCGGAGCCTGGCTAGAGAACCCAGAGATGCTCCCGGAATGCGTCTGAGCCACTTCCCAGCATTGTTGGGCCTGAACGCCCTGTGCCACTTCCCTCCTGGGCACCCTGGGGGCCCAGCCACGGAACTCAGGTCCACACAGGCCCTGAGCCCCGGCAAAGGATACAGGCCAGGCCAGCAAGAAGGCCGCAGAACAGCTGCAGGAAGGGTGGCTCGGAGCTAAGCAGTGGTGTCAAGGCGAGCAGCAGCCAGGGCAGGAGCCATGGTGGCAGGATCCCCTGGGGCTGGCGAGGGTGGTGACCCTGCCCAGCCAGCATGGCCAGGTGGACCGGCATGTAGCCGCAGCCGCCGGCTGCACTGGACACCCCAAGGCCTGCCAGCAGTACCCCCATGAGCCCGGCAGCCAGGGCGAGCAGGGCAGAGGCATGCAGGAACCGCAGTGTGCCCAGGTGGCACTCCTGCCACCAGCCCAGCGTGGGCAGGAGCAGCAGGCTCAGGAGCAGGCCGGGTAGGGCCGTGTGGCCCAGGGCATGGGTCAGCAGCCGGTGCGCTGGGAGAGAGAAGGAGCTTATGTGCCGGGTTAGTGGCTCTAACCCCCAAGGCTGGCCCAGGTTGGCAATTACCCTCTGCAGGACGCCCGCTAAGCCAGCCTCCTCTCCCCAGGAGCCAAAGTGCCCACTGCCAGCACTTTAATCACTCATGAAGGGGACCGAGGGCTTCTAAATGCTGCGACTGCTCCCCTGCTGTGTTAACCAGAACAGGCCGGACCCACCGGTCAGTCTTCTCAAGAGCAATCCAACTGTGGATGAGTCACTTAACGTTTGCTCGGAAGCAACGTTGCCCACTCCGCTGGGGTCCCCCTTTAAACTCCCAGCACCTCCTCAACATTCTCATACTAAGCTGAAAGCCTTAGTTCTTATTTTAAGGGAAAGCCACCAAAAAGGGAAGCCATCTGAATAGAATTCCTACTTACAAGCTCCCACCCCTCTGCTGGCCCCTCTGCCTGGGTGCTCTGCCCTCCCTGCTTGGCTGCAGGTGAGCTGGGCACGCTCCTGTCCCAGGCCAACTTCCCCCATGCACTGGGTCCTATCCCTGCTTGACCGGTGCAGGATGCATGGCACTCCTGCGAACCAGTCTCAGGCCCTAGAGCAAGCCTCCTGCCTCCTCCAAGGCCCAAGGGGCCAGGCCTCACCCTGCCAAGGCAGCAGCTCCGGGGCCAGGGCAAGGCTGGGGCCAGCCCCCACCAGCCACAAGCTGCTCAGGAGCAGCATCAGGGCAGAGGAGGCGAGAGGCAGCGCCGGGGACGGTAGGCCGGGGGGTCCTCGGGCACGCATAGCGTGGCTGAAGGTGTCAAGGGTGGTCTTGAGGCTGTGTGCTAGGGATAAAGGAAAACGATAACAACAGTTATTACTGCAATTTTTATCCAACTCCTTCCACCTACCCTCCCGATGGCCCCATTTTATAGAAGTAGAAACTGAAGCTGGAGAGGCAGGCCCAGCAATTTGACCATAGAGGAGCTCAGATCTTAACCACATGCTTAGCCATCTTGCCATCTCCTCTGCCTGTGTGTGAGGATGGGGAGGAGCTGAGCCAAAAGGGTTCTGAAGAGCCTGGGGTGTGTGAGGCGTAAGGCCAGGGAAGTTGAACTGGGGCTCTGGACTCCCAAAAAGAGGGGTGCAGCATGCCAGGGCAAACTCAGGGCCATCTCCAGCTTTCCTCTGCCTCCCTCTTCCCTGGAGCTGCAGACCAGCCACGTTCCTCACTCCTCCCCTCCACCCAGCCCAGCCTTAGAGCTCTAGGTGGACTCAGCTGCCCTTGAGGGTGAGGCCAGCCAATGGGCAGGCAGATTAGGAAGGGGGTGAGGCAGAAGGGCTGGAGGAGGGGCAGGAATCCCACACTCTGAGTGCATACAAAGCGACACTGGACAGAGTCATCCCCTCCCTCCAGCTTTGAGCGCAGGCCCTCTGGCCCTAGCCCCCCTTTTCACAGAAAGGTTCCAGGATCCCCCCACTTCTTCCTGCTGTGCATCCCTGGACAAGTTTTCCATCCTCTGAGCCTCTCCTTCCTCATCTGTAAAATGGGGATTACGAAAATTCTCTCCTCATAGGATGAGAAAAAGGAACGGACGAAGGCAGGACCCAGCCCACAGTTCCTGCTCAATAAACTGTAGCCATCCCAGCTGATTGTGGGAGGCAGAGGTAGCCACCAGCTAGCCCAACCAGGGGAGGCCTCAACATGGAAGCAGCTGCTCCAGCCTAGCTGGTTCAAGCTCTGGCCCACAAGGCACAGGACTTGCTAAAACCCCCTCACCCCGCGCCACCCCTCCCCCACCGCCCACCGATTAGTGTCAAGACTCCCAGTGAGCTGATTTCATGAGGCAAGAAGCAGAATCCCAGAGAGACAGGAAGACTGTTTCATCTGCTCCCTTGCCAAGGGCAACCTCAGCATCAAAACCCACCTGTCAGTTTCCTGCCGGAAAAATGGAGAAAGCTCCTCGGCCTGCAATGTCCCTCCCTCCATCTCTCCAATAGGCAAACTCCTACTCACCCCCTTGAAGCCCAGTTCAAATGCCCCATCTCCTGCTTTGTGGATCTTATCCTATCTAGTAAGCACAGCTTGGCCTGTCTTTCTTCCTGGGCAGGTAGTCTAGGCAGAGGGCAGGTGGGAGTGCCCTCCTCTTACTCATTCCCAAGTTCTCCATATGTGTTCACTGAGAGACTCTAGCTTGGCTCCAGGTCCCGCTGAAAGATTTGGGCGAGCCTGCCCTTGGCCTGGGTACCTGCCTGGGGAGACTAGATTGAGTCCAGGAAAGCAGACAGATGCCAGCCTTGCCCAAAGCCAAGACACCCACTGAAAGCCTCCTCTTGCACCCTCAAAACCACCCGCCAGTAGGCACTTTACAAGGCTGAAGGACTTGCCCATAGACAAACAGAACTGGAACTGGAACCCTCTGGGCCTCAATGTCTTCCTCAATAAAATGGGGCTGTGCACCATCAGGCCCTGCCTACCTTACTGGAAAGCTCGGAGGACAGAATGAGAAGACTAGGATGGGGTAGATTCTTCCGAGTGATAGAGAGAGTGGGGGTCCCAGGGTGTGGGTCGGACTCAGCTTTGTGACTTTAGGAAAAGTACCCAAATTCCTTGGGCCTCAGTTTCCCTTTCTGTAAAAACAAGGGTGTTGGATGGGGGATTAAGATTAAAGGGCCTTCTCAACCTTGACCGTTACGGAGTGGGGGAGGGGTTCTCGGGATCGGGCGCTACGATCGGGGCCTCCCATCTACCCCACCTGCCTCGTCCCCCTCCCGCTCCGGCCCAGGCCACGTGTTCGGGGTACTCACTGCAGAGAGCGCCCCCCGCCCCCGGAATGCCGGGTGGGGCCCCTGGCTGGGAGTCGGGACTCCAGCTTCCCGGCAAGGCCCGAGAGCCCCGAGCCCATTCTGCCTGCACTCGGGCGCGTGACCCCGGCCGAGCCGCCGCGCCACCCCCTCTTCCGCCGCCCGCCGCCCGCCGATTAGTCAGCAGTTGTTCTAGGCCCGGGTCCCTTCCCCCAGCCCTCCCGCCGGCCTCCGTGTCCCTCCAAGGCCGACTCTTCAGAGACGGTCCCTAGAGCCAGCGGACGAAACCATTCCGAAGAGCTTTAGCCTTGTACGGAGAATCTCTCCGGCTTGATACCAGTAGCCGCTCACCGCCGCTCCGGACCCTTCTGTGCTATTTTGGCCCGCACGTCAAGTCCAGCGCCCTTTAGAGAGCATTAGGACAAGAGCTGCGGGAGGGAAGGACGAGAAATCTGTGGTTCTTCCCTCCCTCCCTCACCCCCGTGGCCCGGCCCGATGGTAGCGCCCGAGGTTGCGGGTTTCGCGCCTGCGCAGTGCGGCGCCAAGAGGGAAAGCGAGAGGGAGACGGACGTTGAGAGAACGAGAAGGAAGGAGAGAAAATGGCGTCCACGGGTGAGTGTGGTGGAATCGCGGTCGCGCCGGCGACTGCCGGGACGCCCACATCTGGGGCCGCTCGTCTCTAGGGGTGGCCGGGACGACTGAATGGAGCTGCCGAGAAGGGTGTGAGGTACCCGCCGCGGCCCGACGAGCTCGAGGGCCCGCGTTCTTCTCCCCTCCCCCCACCGGGAAGGCCGGTTCTGGAACCTTCCGGCGCCCCCGGCGCGCGAGGTGCAAGCGGCGGCGGGAGCGCGCGGGGCCTGCCGCGGTCTCCATTGTGTGGCGGCCGTCGGGCCCCGCGCGCCCGGCCGCCCGCCACGTGGGCGGGGCCTGCGGCCTCCCGGGCCCCGCGTGGGGGTTGGGGGAGGGCTCGGCAAGGCCTCGAGCCCGGCACCCCTAAGCCCGAGGTGTCGGCGGAGGGGGGGTCGATGGCTGCTCGAGAAGCCGCAGCAACGCCGCTCCTCTGACTCTCCCCACCCCCTTCCATTTCCAGGGAGGCGGCTCAAGCCGGAGGGCGACTTTGCTTCGCGGAGAAGCCGGGGGTGGGGGGCAGCAAATAAAAACGGCATCGCGGGTTTGTGAGCCGAGGGGTGCCGACCTATGAGCGGGCGCCCCGTAATGGCCTGGTCGGCTGGGGCGTCCGGTGCGGCCGAGCTGCCCTCTCGGCGGGTTCCAGCCGCAAACCGAACTTCTGCCCGACAGGGTTTTGGACGGAATGTGCTTCCCCTTTCAGCGCCCCCCCCCCAATCGGCGCCGCCACCCCCGGGCTTCTTCGTTTTTACTCTTATTAATCCCACCTCCTTTCCTCCCCAAAAAGCAATTAAGTGCTTCCCGGGGCCGTTTTTCAGCAAACGCTGAGGGAAATCCGTTGTGTAAAACGACCAGCCCGGATTGCGAGGCCAGAAATCCCTACCGAAAGAAAATTCTGGCCTTTTTGACCTAGGAGAAACAAAAGGCCCGAGTCGGCATTTGAATTATGCTTAAGCAGTCGTCTCGCAAGTTTTTTCGCCTAGGTTAAGCCGGCGGGCTTGTTTATTTCGTGGACTGCTAGAAGAGAGGGAAAGGAGACGCGTGCTGGACTTTGAAAGAAAACCCGGGGCGGGAGCTCGAATGTGATAATGTAGAGTGGTCTTGTATACGGGAGTTGTTTAACCTTGTAACCTAAACATCACTTGCAGTTCGCAGCCTGTTCGTGCACTAACCTGCGGTTATTGGTAGGGTGGGGCATTTTTGGCCTCTGGTGGTATTCTTAAGCCACCTAACACCGGGCCTTAGAAGCAGTGGGAGAAGTCGAGGGAAGACCGGAAAAGCTCTGGGTCCTTCCGAGATTTAATTTGAAACGGGTCGAGAATCCAGCAACTTAAAGAATTTAAGTCTTCCAGAGCTGTGTGATAAGTAAACAGGCAGGTAAATGCCGGCGGTTAGTGCCAAGGTTCAGAGTGCCCCCTAGAAGTGAGGACTCTGAAATACCACAGTCCAAGACATCCTGGTGGGAAGTGGTTTCCGCAGGGCCCTTTCCACCTTCCTCTTGCAGTGTTTGAATTTTGAGAGGGAGAATTTGGAAGAGAGAGTGCTACTCTCCCTTCCCTATTGAAGCGAGGGGAGTCAAAATGTGTATGGTGAAATTTTTGCGTAGCTGGACATGCCAATTTCTTGGTTTAATTTGCTCAAACTGTTTATTGGAAACCTCCATGTACTATATTAGAATTACAGTTGTGTTTTACGTAGACACAGTAATAGGCCAGCTGGAGGATCTTTGGGAAATCACATACTTATCTGGACTTCGGTTTCCTTTCCTTCAAAATGAAGGAGTGAGGCTAGATCTTTTTAAAAGCTCTTTGAGCCCTTAACCTCTTGACATTATAGCAAAGCTTTTGGTTCCCACAGATTGCCCCATACTGACTTTAACTCCTTGTGTAGCTTGAAGCTCTAAATCTCTACTGTTGGAGAGTACTTTAAAGTATCTAAAAGCCACTACTTTAGGTAACGTTAGATGTTTTTTCTCCGTGTATGTTTAGGAAAGTAGAGTATATGTCCAGTTTAACAAAGAATTAAACTCCTAAGTCACCACCAAGAAAAAGAGCATTGCCAGCACTTTAGAGGCCCCCTGGATTACAGCCCCTTCTTCCCAACCTGTCCTGTATTTTTAGTGAAGTCTTCAGCTGCGCATTTGGGGGTTAAAAACAAAGCATGACTGACAGCTAAAAAATCTAACCATTGTGTAACTAACATTTTTGAGTTCATTATAATGTTTGTGAGTTGGAGGTAGATAACATAAGTTTTCAGGAAACAAATTTGCTACCTCCTTTAGCCCACCAGTATGGGACTAAATGGGTTGGTTTCACACGGATCTGAGATCATTCGTTGTTCCGTTATCAGCTTTGCCAGTTTTCTGCTTTACATAACTGTTCTTGTGTAAAAGTCCTCTTGGAAAGTTGAACTTCCATGTCAGCAATTTAGAATCATTTCTCACGAGACACCTCAGCAAAACGTAGGTTGAAATATTTTTTGATGCTTTGATTTGTCTGTTTTGTAAATGCCTCACGGAAGAGGTGATTTGCATTTACTTTTTATGTGGTACATAGAAAGCAAGAGTTGTGCTTTTGAAAATGCCTTAAGGTTTAATCTTAAAATGCCATTAGATTGTCTTAAATCAATTTGTTCATTATACAAAACCTTTAGGCAGTTGATTTGATAACGTTCATGAATCAGAGTTTTGAGTTAAGGATGTACAGAGGAAGCAAAGTAGTTAAGGTAGAGAGGTAGAAAGGTGAGCCTACTTTAAAAGATGGATTCAGCACAATGCTCTCAGGCCAGGTAGACTGTGAGGCAGGCTTTGGATAGAGTGGGGGTAGAAACCCCTCCCTGAAGACCTGAGATGTCCATTGTTGCTTTCTAATGAGGGGCTGCTTTCTGATTGGAAAAGAAAGGACCCTTTTGTTCACTAATGGCAGTACTGTCTTCTAGCATAGAATAAGGTATGTATTTCTTGTGGAGAGCAAAGATTGGGTAGAATTTTTAAAAATATTTTTAAACGGGCGCCTGGGTGGCTCAGACGGTTAAGCGTCTGCCTTCAGCTCAGGTCGTGATCCCAGGGTCCTGGGATCGAGCCCCAAGTGGGGCTCCCTGCTCAGCGGGAAGCCTGCTTCTCCCTCTCCCACTCTCCCTGCTTGTGCTTACTCTCTTGCTGTCTCTCTCTCTGTCAAATAAATAAAATCTTTAAAAAAAAATAAAATCTTTAAAAAAACATTTTTAAAATACATGTATGTTTAGTTCAGTAGTGCTGTGAAAACTTCGTCACCATTTTATTTTCTTTTTGTTTTCACTACTTGTATAGACACCTCAGTGGACTAGTTTTTAGTCCCTTTTTGTGCATGTTTTACATTTCAGATGAAAAGGGAAATTATAGGAAAGATTAGAAAGAGAAAAGAGGGGAAGAAAAGTAAAGTTGTGGGCTTTTTTTTTTTCTTGAGTTGAAATCATTGTGAGTTTTAAAAAGATGTTGTTACTTAAAACCAAATTACTCCCCAAAAGATTACATGCTCTATTCTCTGCCAGTTATCATGATTCTGTCTTAACTCTGCTGCAATTTATGTTGTGTTTGGCTCTTGACTGCCTGTAGAGATGTAGCCCTGATACAGTCAGGAAAACCTTTAAAATACTGGATTGGGATGACTTTTTTTTTTTGCCATTCCATGTCACAGCCCTGCTATGGAATTATGGTTAGTTTTTAAAATGCTAAAGTGAGGGGGTGATAGAAAAACTAGTTTTTGGGGAGATGTAACCAGTCTGATGTTAAACATTGTAATATTGTGGCATGCCTCATTTTTATAGGAAGGTAAAACTTCTGTTGGTTCATCTTGTTTTCTGTTAGTCTTAGGATGATGATCAGGTATTTGAAATGACAGCCTGCAGTTAAGGGGCGGGGGAGGGAGTTGTGGTCATGGGAACCTTTAAAGTATCTGCCAAATCAGCTGATCTTGACCTCATTAGCTGGCACTATATTTCAAACTTTCTGAGCTTTAACTGGCTTAGACTCATTTTTTTGGTTTGATGTTAAGAGAGAGGAGATACTCATTCGGACCTGTGTTGGCCTGTACTTCCTCTCTATAAACGGTTTAAAGAATTTATTTTCTTCCACCTGAATTCCTCCTCCGCTTTTTTTTTCTTCTCCTTGTCTCTGCTGACTTCACATTATTTTCTGTCCTTGTTTTCTCTAGATTACAGTACCTACAGCCAAGCGGCAGCCCAGCAGGGGTAAGTCAGTCTTTTTATAACAGTACTTTCGGTGTGATTGATAATAATGTTTTTAGAATACTAAGCCTCCTGGAGTTGTAGAGGATTTTGTAATGGAATCTGAATGTTCTATATTCAGTTCTTGCATTTAATTTTTCTTACAGCTACAGTGCATACACCGCCCAGCCCACTCAAGGATATGCACAGACCACCCAGGTAATCTTTAAGATACTTATATGTGGTTACATCCCCAAACAAAATATTTCTGTCAGCCATTAAAACAATAGCTAGTACAGCTCTTTTTTAAAAATCAGGTAATAGAAAAGTATGATGTGCTTGTAATCATAAAAATACTCAGGCGTTTTAAACTTTCACAGTGGGAGTGCCATTATAAATGACACCATCCCCAAACTGGAAGTTGCTAGCTCTCCACACCTTTCTAGTATCATTTCTCAAGTTAAGTGCCTTGCTCAGTAAATGGTCTTTCTACATATTATATTATGTTTAAATTTATTTAATTTTACAGTGCTTCTGCAGAAGAAGGTGTTATTAGGATATTTTGCAAATAAAAAATAGCGCGGGCGCCTGGGTGGCTCAGATGGTTAAGCGTCTGCCTTCGGCTCAGGTCATGATCCCGGGGTCCTGGGATCGAGTCCCGCGTCGGGCTCCCTGCTCCTTGGGAGCCTGCTTCTCCCTCTGCCTCTCTCTCTCTCTCTCTGTCTCTCATGAATAAATAAATAAATGAATCTTAAAAAAAAAAAAATAGCAGCGCATAGATAGGTCATTTGCCAATAGTCACATAGTAAATGGCAGGGTGAGCTGTGTATGGCTGCCTAGCTACAGAGCTTCTGAGCCCTTTCCGGTACATGAGCTTGTGTTTAAAAGCCTAGGCCAACAGAGACACCTGGGTGGCTCAGTCGGTTAAGCAGCTACCTTCGGCCCGGGTCATGATCCCAGAGTCCTGGGATCAAGTCCCGCATCGGGCTCCTTGCTCAGCGGGGAGCCTGCGTCTCCCCGTCTCTCCCTCTGCTTGTGCTCTCTGTGTCAAATAAAAAAAAAAATCTTAAAAAAAACAAATACCTTAAAAAAAATAGCTAAAAGCCTAGGCCAGCAGATTCTGGAAATTGGGGTCCTAGTATTCTCAAGACCACTTCGCATTCTGAAATGGTCCATGACTAAAATAGATACTAATAACTCTGCCATTGAAACTTTCTGGGACAGACAGAAGTGTGATGTCTCTGGCAGATCTTACATAATTGGTCATTCAAATCTAGAATGTGATCTTGCTAAAGGGTGGAAGAATACCTCATTCCTTACCAGCTTTTAAGTATTACTGATGTCCAAGGCGCCTGGGTGGCTCAGTTGTTAAGCGTCTGCCTTCGGCTCAGGTCATGATCCCAGCGTCCTGGGATCGAGCCCGGCATCGGGCTCCCTGCTCAGTGGGAGGCCTGCTCCTCCCTCTCCCACTCCCCCTGCTTGTGTTCCCTCTCTCACTGTGTCTCTCTCTGTCAAATAAATAAATAAAATCTTTAAAAAAAAAAAATATTACTGATGTCCAAGTTCAAAAGACAGTTCTTGATATGTTAACTTTAAGGAGACTTGCTGTGTTCTAGTTCGTTTTCTTTGAAGTCGTGTAAGTTTTTAAATTTTTATGTCAGGCTGAAAATCTGGTTTTCAAACTAACAGATTTTAATCCCATTTTCATTTTCTCTCTCTTGGTTCATTTTGTCTTCCTAACATTTGTTTCCAGTTGCTAAAACGGTACTACACTAAGTGCTAGCAATTATACACCTGTTCCGTTATTGCCCATCCCTTGAGAGTGTCTTATTAATCTCCTGTATAGTTAACTGAAAGTTTGCCTCATTATCTCAGGAACTTTTTTGTAGTTAAGTTTATAAAAATATGAGTGGATTAGATAAGGGAAAGAAAGCATTCATGATACTGTGATCACTTGTCTGTATTTTACAGTCTTTACTAGAAAGCAGTATTTTTGGTTTTGGTTCTTCCAATTTTTAGAGCCTTAGAAATAAGTCAATCTGTTTTTTGGCTAAAATATAAGGTTTGGTTTTTTGTTTTTTTTTTTTTTAAAGATTTTATTTATTTGAGAGAGAGAGAATGAGCACGAAAGGGAAGAGGGTCAGAGGGAGAAGCAGACTCCCCGCTGAGCAGGGAGCCCGATGCAGGACTCGATCCCGGGACTCCAGGATCATAACTTGAGCCGAAGACAGTCGCTTAACCAACTGAGCCACCCAGGCACCCTAAAATATAAGGTTTACATATGAACTTCTTGCATCCGTTTTCTTTGAGCAGGCATATGGGCAGCAAAGTTATGGAACCTATGGACAGCCCACTGATGTCAGCTATACCCAGGCTCAGACCACTGCGACCTATGGGCAGACCGCCTATGCAACTTCTTATGGACAGCCTCCCGCTGGTAAGGCCTGCCTTGGAGAGACTTTCGGGTCATAGCCACTGGGGTGTTTGCTAAGAATCTTGTTACTTATGCTCTCAGGTGTATATTCTGTTCCATACCTTGGCATCTGAGGATCCTTTATTCTTAGGAGGAGCTATTTTTTTCTTTTTTTTTTTTTTCTCTTTTCCCCTATATTCTCCTAAAGGATTTCTGATAGAATGTGGGTGGGATAATTTCTTTTTAACTATTTCATTCAGTGTATCGAATAATCTTACAACAAAATGGAGAATATATAAAAGATTGTGCTAATGGTAATACTGGGTAAGAGTGAGCCTTCTTAAAGTGAGCTGCTTAAAATCAAACTGATTTTCACATCTGTTTGCTTCATCTGATAGTGTACCCTCTACTTTTTGTTTTGTGCTTTCCACAGTAGAAGGGACCAGTACAGGTTTGACTATCCTGCTCATTCTTGCATGGGAAATGCTTTCCATCTTGTCTAACCTTGTAATGTTGACCCTTTAGGTGTTTTCATCTGTTTAACCCTCAAACTTTCTAACATCACACACAACAAGGTGCTAATGGGAAATTGCTTCAGGTGCCATTCACAGATCCATGTCCTTTTCTTTATGTGATTTTGGGAAAGGTTTTGCTTTATTTTATATTATTTTGTGTCAAGCCTTAATAGTTGTTCACCTTCCCAAAGGTATTTCAGATGACTATTCCCCAGCTGATTCCCCCCTATTCCCTGAAGGATAGATTGCATGAGTAGATTTATTTAGAGGAACAGACTGCCACCCTGCATGTAATGTTTGTCTCTTGGTTGGTTTCCAGTCCAGATACATTTTATTTTCTGTTTTAAATGTTAATGAATTATTTTAATTCATAGTATGTCTTAAATAACAGCATTCCAGGGAGCTAAAAAATAAACTACTCTGAGAATTAGAATAAATTGTATCCTAATGCTAGGATTGAGTGGAGTATGTGAAAAATTTACAAGGATTTTTATATTTATTGCTGCTATGTAACATTTTAGAATCCGTACCTTCTCCCCACCCACCCATTCCTGTTATTATAAGAGAATATTCAATACAAAAGTCTTAAAAATGTAAAAACTCTTTACTGTCCAACTATTTTCAGTTCCCTAAGTTATATGTAGTTTTCTCTCAGTCTTTAGTAGGGGAAAAACCTGTATCTGTAATTTATCTCCTTGAGTGACAGTGTCCTGGATTTGATGGGCAGTATTTCCTAATCTGTGTAACTAATGCATATTTCAAATAGGATGGGAAATGTTTACACTTTTACTGGTGTTAGCTGCAACTGTAGGAAAAGCTGGAGCTAGAACTGTACAGTTTGGATTTTTAGCACAAAATTTTGAAATTGTGAGATTGAACTTTACATAGTCAAGCTATTTTCATTTTTATTAATGATTGACATATAATACTAGTTTTAGGTATACAACCTAATGATTCCATATTTGTATATGTTGTGAAATGATTGCCACAAAAAGTCTAACTGATCTCCATCGGCACACACGGTTAACAAATTTTTTTTCTTGCGGGGCACCTGGGTGGATCAGTCGGTTAAGCGGCTGCCTTCGGCTCAGGTCATGATCCCAGGGTCCTGGGATCGAGCCCTGCATCGGGCTCCTTGCTCAGCAGCGAGCCTGCTTCTCCCTCTGCCCCTGCTGCTCTGCCTACTTGTGCTCGCTCTCTCTCTCGGTGTCAAATAAATAAATAAAATCTTAAAAAAAATTTTTTTTTCTTGGAATGAGAACATTCAAGATCTATTTTGTTATCAACTTTAAAATATACGATACTATTTATTAACTATAGGCACCATGCTGTAGGTTACATCCCTGGAAGAATTTATTTTTATAATTTAGTTAATAAATATAACCAGAAGTTTGTAGCTTTTGACCACCTTCCCTCATTTTTAAGATTTTATTTATTTATTTGACAGAGAACATGCACAAGCAGGGGGAGTGGCAGGGGGAGGTAGAGGGAAAAGCAGACTCCCTGCAGAGCAGGAAACTCTGATGTGGAGCTGGATCCCAGAACCCTGGGATCATGACCTGAGCCGAAGGCAGACATTTAATTGACTGAGTCACCCGGGCGTCCCAACCTTCCCTCATTTTTAAAATAAGTATTAAAGATTTTAAAAATAAGTATTAAATAAAGATTAAGCCTTTGGCATCTCTAGACCATTTTATGGGGATATGGTAAAGTCATTTGTAGGAAACACGGGTCTTCTAGGTTCTCTAGAGTCCTGTGTTCTCATTGTCATTAATTGAACAAGTCCCACCGTGAGGACAAACACATAGGACATTCTGATACAGAAACCATTGGCTTTGATGAGCAAGAAACTTCACTTAATAAGGACTGTTTTATGGATTTTATAGTTTATGGAGAACCATACATACCTCCGTTAATGCTCCCATCAACCTTTGGAGTGTAGAGACTGGAATTAAACCTGATGGGCAAACTGAGGCTGAACCAAACTAAGTTAGGACCCTCACAGGTAGTAAGTGGCTTCAAGCACACTTTTTTCCTTACTCCATGCTGTCTTTACACTTAAGTCATTGGATAATTACTGAAAGGAATGTAGAAAAAAACCCTTTTCTCTCAATAGAATTTTTTTTAATTAAGCTTTAAGAGAAAGTGGCCATATCAATCTCATTTCATTAATTAGAATAGAAACTTTAGTTTTTATTGTTCAAGTTGAACAGAAATTTTGGTTGATTTGTGCAATGTTTATTACATTTTTCCTTAAAGTCAGCACAGAGTAGATGTGTTGTCTTTTGCTGCTGATCTTTTTTATTGTCATTAAATCATTTTCCTCTGTTAATTTTTCCTCATTTGCTTGGCTGTTTGTGTGGGTACTAGAGATTAATTAAAAGATTATTAATTAACCCAGTGCCTATTACCGTAATCTTTAGCACTCCAAGCCTCTAACAGTTACTGCGTAGTTTTATAATATTCAGTTATTGCTCTGATCAGTCTTTGTTGTTGCTTTGCTTTTAATTGCCCTTGTGACTCTTATAGATGGCCTTGTCATCATGTAGGGGAAAAAAATCTGTGTAGGAGTAATAGGGTAGGTGGAATTAGATTCCAGTTAAATTTAAATAAATGAGTGCTTTATATGGATGACATTAGGACTCTGCAGGGAACTTTTAAATTAAATAAACAGCTGAGTGACATGCCAACTCAAAAAACTTCCATTGCTTGGGGCTGTTTTGTGCATTATGCTTTCATACACATTTCAACCTAGTAGTTTTGAGAAGGAAATTACTGTCTTTGTGTATAATTAATTTCAGAATTTCCCTAAAATGTTCGGGATGGAGAAAAAAAGTACTACACTCTGTGCTACAGGAGGTGACACTTTAGGTTGTACAAAGAGAAGTTGGTATTTGTTGTTGGCTAGTAAGTTGTATGTATAGTGAGGACACTTTATTCTAACTGAAGTTTAAGGCCCTAAATTTTAACTAAAATGAGCTATCTTAATTCAAGATTTGTCTTAAGTACTCAAACTCTTTTACTTTAGTGAGATGTAGACTATTTTTTGATGGATATGAATGCTGATGACCCAGGTTTTTATTGCATGGCTGGCTTGTGTTCATTGACCATGAGGAGGGGTCAGAGAGAAGAGCCCAGCACCAGGAAAGATTATAACACATCTCACAGAATAAGGACTCAAGTTAGGAGCTGCAGTTTGGGAGGGGCTTTTTGTCACACTGCAAGCCCAAGTTCCAGATGAAAGGGTTTGCATTCCTGCCTGCTCTGGTAGAGGCAGGAACTAGGGAGAGAACCTACTTTGGTTTGCCTCATACCTCTGAACGCAGCAGGTCTTTGTGATACCTAGTTAGGGGACTAGCATGGGGCTAGCTCTAGGGTCCACTTTCAATATTTTCAAACAGGAGAAAGACCTTTTTGCTTGTGGTAGGTAAATAAGAAAGGAATGGAGGGTGGGTAATTTGATGACAAGCGTAGACTCTTAGATGGTTTAATCATGTGAAAAACATTCACCTTATAAAGGTTTATTTGGGGAGTATTAAGTTTAATTAAAATCATTTACCTGAAAGGTCAAATAAGATAACTTTGTTGGTTATATTTAAGCAAATGTAATTTGTAGTATCTTATTACTCAAGTTCCATTTCAAAATTTAGTGCTAGTAACAAGCATCTTTTTAGTTGTTACCTGAAACAAAAGTAGCAGTACTTGGACATCTCCCACTGAAAATTAAACACATGTTCTCTGGGATTTCAGTTTCCTTTAATTAAAAATGAACTGCCCATGTTGGAATGCTCGGGACTGAAAGGAAAGTAATTTTAATGCTAAAAATATTACCTGGATCGTTATTTTTAGCTATTTTAGCAATGTGTCATTGCCTTTTCCCTTTCTGGGATGTTTTATTCCTGCTTGAGAGTTTTTTGGGATACTTAACTAGTTGAGGAAATTGTTAAGAAGGCCTGCTTGCAAGACCAGTATAGGATCCCCAAAAGCAGACTTTTCTCCTATTGAATCCAGAGGGGAAAGGTGCAGCAGGAACCTTGTTTTCTGTACCAACACTTCTGTAGCATACCCTGTTTCCTCCTGTTAGGTGTGATTTTAGAGCTAAAGAGAGTGCCATGCTGAAAACTGGGTACTTTTCAGACAACGTAGGCTTTAAATATTGTTTTGTTGCTACTCATACTGGAGTGGGGGGGGATCTATTTAAAGGGGCTAAATATTGTGATGCTTTAAAGTAGGTGGTTTACAAATTGTTTTGTTAACAAGTGTCTAGGCAGCGCTCTGAGGAGCCAGAAATCTGACATATTTCTCCTTTGTTCTAGGTTATACTACTCCAACTGCCCCCCAGGCATACAGTCAGCCTGTCCAGGGGTACGGCACTGGTGCTTACGATACCACCACTGCTACGGTCACTACCACCCAGGCCTCTTATGCAGCTCAGTCTGCTTATGGCACTCAGCCTGCTTACCCAGCCTATGGGCAGCAGCCGGCAGCCACCGCACCTGCAAGGTAAGGCCACACTCCCCTAGTTCTTAAACTAGAGCACATCAGCCTGTTTCGGGAAAGAGAGCAATTACGCGCACTTAGAGAATCCAGAACTTCATTCCTTTTTAATGGTTACTCTTAACATAATTACTTTTAGAGGTTGACTATGTGCTTATAGTCATCACAGTAATGCTCTAGAACACACCACAGATACATTGTTCTCCATTTAGTAGAGAAATGGTGCCATCCAGGGGCCAAGACGAGGAAAATCACTGGCCAGATGTCTAGTTTCTAGACATCCAGTTTCAAAAGGGTGACCTTTTAGGGTAGGAGGAGACTATTATATTTACTTTACCAAACCCAGAAAAAAACAATGAAATGTGTGTTTTCCTTCACAACAGAACAACTGATAGAATTGTACTTTTGGTTTTACTGACTTTGTAAATGGATAACAGCTTTCTCTTTGGGAAAAACGTGGCAGTTCACAATACAGAGGAGGTGGGAAGTCATATACTGGTGTCTCAGTTGAAGAAATTGACATTTTTTGTGTATTATGTAGTGGCTTGGTTATCTAAATATCACAGGCAAGTATATATTCTTAACTGGGTACCCTGCTTTGGGGTGAATATTTTGGCAAACAGTTTCATACTCCGTGACTAATTAGCAGGTAAACAGTACTGATTATTACTTAACAGAAGATTTCAGGTCTTTGCTTTAAGCAATGGACATAGGTGGCTTCTGCATACAATCTTGAAGGAACATTGAATTCTGATTTGAAAGAAGACTTTTTAGGGAATAAACAAGAGATCAACTTGTAACCTAGACTTTTTGCCTACTCTAGAGGTAAGAACTTAGCTCTGGCAAACACTCATGAAATTACTTCCAAAGTGCACAGTGAGTAATCAGAGCTACTTGGTAGTTTACATCTACTAGACATCCTGTGCAGTAGGTAGATTAAACTGACTGATTCCTATAGGGCTCCGTTTCAGGTGACCTAGGCATTTCAGAATGTTATCAACTATTTGAAGTCCCGTTTGATGAGCCATTGCAACGGTATATCAACCATAGCTGGTGTGGGGGGTTATATATTAATTGGTTTTTTATAATTTTTTGTTGTTCCTTTTCTTTCCCTGATTTTCAGTCCTTACCACTTTAAAACTGTCTCATGATCAGTGTCAGCTACTCCCTTTTCCACTGGAAAGAGGGGGCTTGTGACCCATTTCAGCTCTGGAGAAACCAGTACTTCCACATCCTATCTGGTTTGCCTGCTGATTCTTGGTGGTTTGCTTAAAATAGCTCAAGCTCACTTTATTACAGTGTTGTTGCAAACTGTTAGGGCTAAGAGGTAATAGAAAACTCTGGGGAATTGGTTTTCATTATTTAATATTTCCCAGTTCATCCAAGCATTCCTGGGAGCTGGGGTTGGGAGGGGGTGGTTCTCTCCCCTACTCTGGTATTTCCATTATGGAGACTTTCAGGCAAGGTTAGATTTATTTATGGCAGTCCAAGTTAGGAAATGTGTTTTCAGGTCTGTTCTTAATAAATGAGAAACTTAAACTCACAGTAATCCAAATTTATAAATGCTACTCTAACGTGACACTTTTGCATTATTGTTAAAGTTTCTTGTCTGTCTTCCAACAGTCCTTTTTGGGGGGGAAAAAACATTTTCTTCCCTAACAAACCACCTCCCCTCCCAGATCACTTAAATTGGCAATAGAAAATATTATAACTGCCTTTCATAGCTGCTAATGTGGAACGAGTGGAACATGTTGGTATCTCATCTGTGGATTTGATTAATTCTCCCCTTTTCTTAGAAGTGTTCTCTTCCAGCACATACAGTTGGACTGAGACTGGGTTTGATATAATTCAGTTGACAGTTGTATTTACTTCCAAGCTCAGTCCTAACATTGCACATTGCTTAGAGGTTATAGAGCTCTTACCCAGGAGTTTTATGGTTGAGGGAAAAAGTCTTACTTTTTTATTTCTCCTTTTAGACCGCAGGATGGTAACAAACCCGCTGAGACTAGTCAACCTCAATCTAGCACAGGGGGTTACAACCAGCCCAGCCTAGGATATGGACAGAGTAACTACAGTTATCCCCAGGTACCTGGGAGCTACCCCATGCAGCCAGTCACAGCACCACCATCTTACCCTCCTACCAGGTCAGTATCTTTGTTCTCATGGCCAGTGAGCTAGTAGAATAACAGTTTTTTTTCAGGCTGTTGACCAGTTTGCTTCTTCCTCAGGTGAGATGGGTCATCTGACTTTCCCAGTGATGAGCCTGACCACACATTAAAACTTCAGTCTTAGGTTCCTATAGCAGTACCTGGCAGTCAGTAACTCTTTTCTCTAAACACAACATTTTTACCACTCTAGGTTCTTCCTTTTAATTTTGCTCTTTTAAGTTAATTCAGATGGATGAGAAACAGAAGTATATGAAAGCAGGTAAACCCA